ACTGGATCAATCTCCTACATGTTTGGGTAATAGCCATGTAAGTGTTTAATCATAACAGGATCAATCTCCTACATGTTTGGGTAATAGCCATGTAAGTGTTTAATCATAACAGGATCAATCTCCTACATGTTTGGGTAATAGCCATGTAAGTGTTTAATCATAACAGGATCAATCTCCTACATGTTTGAGTATAATCTACCCAAGTGTTTAACTTCTACTGGATAAATCTCCCACCAGTTTAAGTGATAGTAATCAGTGTTTAACTATTACTAGATCAACTTACTACAAGTTTCAGTAATACTTATATGACTTCTTAGATAATCTTTTTTTTACCATCTTTAGGATATATATATATATCCTGTGAAAATAACATATTTTATAATTAATTTGACTGGATCATTAAACTTTTGTTTGTATGTGAATTTCTGCTTTTATGGCTTGATGGTAATAATGTATCTAAGCAACCACATTTTTGGATGGCTGTTGGAAATGTGTGGAAAAAAAATCAAAGTAGGAAAACTAGAAAAGAAAGCAATTAACACATCACTAAAGGGATTAAATTGTTGTAACATTAAGTTTTTAATTTACGTTTACACCATAATACACTCAAGCTGTATATTACACTTTGTCAGCTTTTGTACATAAAGCAAATCTGTATCTAGTTTATTCTTTTAAAAACTTTCAAAAAATTTAAAATTTCTTTACGGGTAACAACAGCTTGTGGTAAAAACAGCTGATTCTCCTTGATGTTTCAGGTAACTCCAGTTTCCTGTCTCTGGGAAACAGAAGTTACCAAAAACTGTCACTACCACAGGCTGATGCCATTCATAAAGAAAGTTTGTCAGACAGCATACATACACAGTATAAATCTTCAACGAAGTATTACTAGTCAGTTGTAAAAAGAATACTTTGGTATTAACATAATATTTTCTTTCCAAAATTCTGCTCTTGAAACAAAAAAAACTGTCTGGTAATTAGGAAATTACAACCATTAGATATCCAGGTGTTTCTAGAAGACCTCTAGTTTTTATTTTTATTTAATTGTATAAAGGTACAATTTAGTTAGCCCCCAGTGGCACAGTGGTATGTCTGTAGACTTACAGTGCTAAAAACCAGGTTTCAATACACGTGGTGAGCAGAGCACAGATAGCCCATTGGGTAGCTTTGTGCTTAAACTACAAACAAAACAATTTAGTTAAACTTTTCTAAAGATAATTTTCATTGTGTCTTTGTAAGCATTTCCAAATCATTTCAGGTCATGTGATATTTAAGACTAAATTCAATATGAATAGAATTATTTCTTTTTTAAGTAGATTCACTTAGCCTGAATGACCAAATACCTATTAAATAGAAATTTCAATGCAAGTTTATTGATACTTACTTCATATGCTAAGGAAAGAGAAGATTTTTCATGTTTCAACTGGTCTATACGAGACTTGAACTGTAGTATATCTTTAACCATTTCTTCCATTCTGGAAGAAGAACAAACTTTCAATATACCTACACATAAATTCCAAATGTAATACACTCTGCTTATCAAGTAAACATTATGGGAGAGTTACAGTCCATAAATTCTAAATTTGTATTTGCCAGATAATTCTAAGTGAAATACTGTTTTTTTAATTGTTTTCAATTATTCTAGTTATAACCAAGTATGAATTTTTAGCATTGATTACACAGGCCTGAGATGGTTTTATTGTCGTTAAATTTTTACATGCTCTACAGTAATTCCTGTACACTGAATCCAAAAATTATATCCATTTTTCTCCATCACGTACAGATTTCTCACAAAACATCATAATGCAACATATAAAAGAAAGGCCACAACACGTAGTTTTGAGACTAAGAGTTGTAGATTTCACACAAAAAAAAATCAAGATGAATGAGTATGTATAATCATTTGA